AATTAACAGGAAAAGGGGTTGTACCTTTTGGCCGCGGCGGAGTTGTTTGCGCAACTGACGCCGGAGCACGAAGTTTACGTATCTCTGTATGAAATTTACTGTAACTCCCTTTTTGACCTTCTTATGAACCGCACCCCCGTCGTTGTGCGGGAGGATCACAACCACCGAGTCAACATCTGCGGGTTGTCGTGGCACAATGTGAGCTCCGCGGAGGAGTTGTTTTTGCTTATTAGCAGTGGTACCGACCAACGCCGCACTGGAAGCACGAGTGCGAATGAACGCTCTAGTCGCTCCCATGTAGTTTTGACAATTCGGGTTTTTTGCCGCAAGGACGCATCTTTCTGCGGAACACTGAACTTTGTTGATCTCGCCGGCAGCGAGCGGGCATCGGAAACGTCTACAAACGACAAGCAGACACGCCAGGAGGGGGCGGAGATCAACAAGTCATTGCTTGCGCTGAAGGAGTGTATCCGGGCGCTGGACGAGAAGAAGAAACATGTGCCGTTCCGTGGCTCGAAGCTAACGGAGATACTCCGCGACAGTTTTACAGGGAACAGCCGGACTGTCATGATAGCAAACATCTCTGCCTCTTCCTGCAGCTACGACCATACTGTGAATACGCTACGGTATGCCTTCCGCGTTAAGGGCCTCAGCATTGCCAATATTGTGCCAAGCAAAGCGCGTAATGCACCGCGGCCGATGCGACAGGCCGTCAGTGAAGTCCCACCGCTGCTCAATTTTTCCAACATTGCCGCGGCCGATGGACCGGCAGGAAAGGCAAAGACACCCCCGACGGGTACAAATGGCCGACGCGGTTTAAGTACACAGAGGGGCAGAAGCTGCACACCAAAAACAGGCAACCTCAACGTCCAAAGCGGTAACATGAATCCGATTCATCAAAGTACGATAGGGGACACGCACGCCGACAAATTCTCCACGTACCTTCGTGCGGTGACGCATGAGAAGTTGTTGGATTTGCTCCCACCGGCCAAATTACGGGAGATGCTGAATAAAGATACCAGCAATCGAGATGGCGGTGCCGGCACATCGGAGAGTTCCACTGTTTCTTTGGAGGAAAAGCAGCTGTTGGCAGAGATGGTCAGCCATGTGGTAGAGAAGTTGAAAGTTGAACTTGGGTCTGATCTTACACAGAATATAAAGAAGCGTGATCGGCTTATTAGGAAACTTCGCGACGAAAATGGCGCGCTGCGAAGAGCCATTGTTACGCTGGAGAAGAGGGTTGGAGAGTGCCCGCGTTGCAGACAACGGGCGAGATCAAATTCCATCTCATAACCGCCAATTGTCACTTGTAGGTTTTTTCTTTATTTTTCTTTTCTTTTTTTTGCGCTTGTGCAGGCTATTTTTTGTTTGTGTGTTTGTTTTTATTCGTCATACATTATACATTATACATTATATATATATATAAATATATATTTCTGTGCATACATGTGTTTGTATGCGTATATGTGTTGTATGCGGTGCTATGTGAAAATATGTATGCGGGTGGTGGTGATCTGCGGAGGGCAAATGGCTGCATTAGTCTGTTATGAATCTTTCTTAATTTTTTTTTGGCGTGTCTCGTCTTGACAATAATCCAGCGTTGGTGGGCAGGACGGTTGGATTACAGACACTCTGTGGGACGGTGGAAAAAAGGGGAAATGAGACGAATGCCGGTTGGGAAGCATGACGATTACATGAGGTGGCTCTTTGAATAGGACGCATTTATGGTGGGCGCAGGGCGATCTGTTTTTGCTTTTTTTTTTTTTGATAATTTCCTGAAGGAATACAGATGCACCCAAATAATTGAGGAGCCTGCGTTGGCATACAGACGTACACGTGTACAGATATTGCATGATTAGCCAAACTGGGCAATTTATATGTGTATATCTGCGTATTTGTGTGTGTGTGTGTGTGATGTCATCTGTTTTTTTTTCTTTACACCCCGGTCCGTTTTTGTTTTTTTATTGCACCGCATGCTTCTCCGTATCATATGAATCAGACAACCACCGGGGTAACATGGATTGAAAGAGACGAGAAGGGAAAGGGGGATATATATTATATATTATATGTATATTATATTATAAATATATATACATATAACTTTGTTTTTGGAATGGAAGAGTGATACGCAGTGTTGGGGAATGTGTGTTTTATTATTATTATTATTATTATTATTATTATTATTAGTGATTTATATCTCATTGTGAAGGATATGCGCAGTGGAATTGTGTAGTTTCTGACGTGTGTGCGTTATGCAGCAGCGCATTAGTGAGCCTCTTTTTTTTTTTCTTGTGTGTGTGTGTGTGTGTGTTTGATTTATTTTGCCAACATAAAAACACATATTTCTTTCTTTTTGAATTGCCTATTATTACTATTTATTTCTAAATATTTTTTTTTTTTTTTTTTTTTGCGTTGGACAGCCGTTGCTGTTTTTCTTCGTTATTGAGGGGTCGTGTGTGAGTGGGGGGTGGAGGCGATATTCGGTCGTTTTTTTCTTGACACGTGAGAGACGTGTTGGCTTTTGACAGCTGTTTTTTATTATTTCTTTTACTCTCTCTCTATGTGTGTGTGTGCGTGTGTTGGTTCACAGTGTGTGTGTGCGTGTGTGTGAATGAAGGGAGAAGGTGCTGACAGGGATGAGTGGCTGGTGGGCCTGCAGCTCTTCATGGATGTGCGGCTTCGAACCGTGCCGTTTCACGTGGCGTCTCGTAATCGTCCCGGCGTGTCTGTCCCCCTGCCGATTCCCAACACGCAGTACATCATGGATGGAATCATGTGGAGCGTGCGTGATCACATTGCGTGGGCTCCCGATGCCTGGCTGACGATTCAAAATCATCTACAGAGCTGCTCGCAGCGCTACACCCAGCTGGCTGAACGGCTGTCACAGTCTCATGCACACACTAATTTCCAGGACGGTGCGGAGGTGGAGCGTGAGCGTCTCTACTCCAGCCACGCATACGTGCAGGACCTTTACGTTGCCTTCTGTGCCGTTGATGCCTTTTTACGCCATGTTGCAGAGGCGTCGCAATCGACTGCACGAGAGGCGGTCGAAAAAGAGCTGCCGCGTCTTGTAGCTGACCACATGCCTATCTGGCAGCTGGCACGCAGTCAATATATGCACGATGCTGTGGAGGACTACCGGCTACTTTTTTTGGACGTGCTGCGATCGTGGACGGTGACGAAACTTCTGCGCCCCGACACGCATCGTCGAATAGAAGAGTACGTGCGGTATAAGCTAAAAACACTGCGGGACAACTCCACGACTCATGAGGGCGACCAGAACGTTGGCCGCCGTTCGTCAGAGGCAATTAGCGCCGGGTTGCGTGTGCTGCTTTCTGGCACGGGGCCGTCGCAGTCGTCGACCTCATTTCTCTCCTCCTCGTCCCCGTCGGCACCCGCAACAATTGACGTCGTGCGCAGGAATATGAGAGAATTTGTTGTTGCCATTTTTCCTTCGCATCGTTCCGATTCTGGGAAGAAGCGCTGCGCCCACTGCGGCGCCGTATTCAGGACTCTCGCTGCAAAGATTGCGCATTACCGCTACCACTTCTACAACCGCAGTTACTTGACGGGGGAGAAAATTGTTCGTCTGCCATACCCCACACTTCAGGACTACATCTCTCACGAGGTGACATCCCGAGTCACGGGGGAGTTTGTACGCGTCACGGAGAATCTTTTGGACGTCCTACGCGTGCCGGAAAAACGAACTGTGCACGTGCGGAAGGAGAAGCAGGAAAAAAAGCCCTCGTGAGGGAAAAAGACGTTTTTTTTTCTTTTTGTGTGTTTCTGCACGTCTCACTTTCCCCATCTGCACACGTCTGTGTGTATATCGGTGGCATCCTCGTTCACCGCCTAAAAAAAAAAAAAGGATGCCGACACCTACTTTTGTTTGTTCTTTGATTCTTTGCGGTGTACTCACCCGGTGCGTGTTTCTGGACGTGGGGATATGTCCGATTAAGAGCATACAAGCTGCTATTTCACTCTCTTACGTTCGATCTCCTTTTAATTTTATTTTTGAATTCTTACTTTTGCATGCATGTTGAGAGTGTTCGGCGTGCAGCCAACCGTACATGTGAGCGATGCGGCGAACCCTCGTTGCGAATCGCGGAGCACTCAGTCTGCTCGGCTTGGATGAACGATTGCACTACACGGAGGAGGAGGTCAAGGCGGCGTATCGTCGACAAGTCAAACGGTTTCATCCAGATGCGGGCGGCAGTGCGGAGCGTTTTCGAGAGCTCCACGATGCGTATGTTTTTCTCCTTGGGGATCGCAAGGCAACAGACACTCCGGCAGAGCCATGTGACAGCAGTTCTTTCTACAATAACGCCCATTCTCGGTGGTCTGCGGGTCGGTATGAAGGAGCCGGGTGCGGTGCGGCATTTGCACGTGATGCCTCCAGCGGTTATGCCCGCAGTGATTATGAGTATGAAATGGGCGTTGAGCGGGACGGTGAGAGGAGGTACGCAAACCGATCTACCCGTGATTTTTACCGTCCGTACACATCGAACCCGTTTGCTCATGGATTCACCGATGAAGAGGTGCTGGAGGCGGAGCGACTGAATCGGCTGCGTGTCTTGTGGGCAGTGGTGAAACACGG